AAAAACACAATTCTGATCATGTATGCACTGTCCTTGAAATTGATTGGTCCACACCCGAGACAGCTTTCCTTAGAGCCTAGTCTAACATGGTGTTGGACCAGATGACGCAAAAAGGCGCACAACTCAAAGACAATGCACCATCAGAGTATGAGAGCTCGGTGTAAGCATTTACACCATTGGAACCTCCTTTGCCAGTAGCAAAATATGATACTTGGTTTTTTACCCTTTTCTGGCAACAAAACTGACACCTCTTTTTTATTAGGAGTCATGTTTGTGACACTTGAGAATCTTGTTGAATAACGGGTTGGTTGAAACCCAGATTCGAACTCGGGACATCAGAAGCGCCAGCTCACTGCTTCAGATACAGCAGCATGGCCACCCCTGCATTGATTTCAATGCATCTAAGTGTGTGTTTTTAATGTTATGTACATATATATTTGTATTATTATATCTTCTATTTTTTATTATCTGGCCGGTTGGCACTGTGGCAGAGCGATTGACTCACAAACAAAATTTGTGATTTCACATCCCACGTGGTGGTTGAATCTCCCTATAGAAAGTTAATATGGAAATTAGCAGTGGACAATATGTAAGTATATAATGTCTTTAAAATAAGCATCAGTAAAAACACATTCCTGAGTTTAAATGAAAATGCTAAAATATTAACCGATAACGAGTTTGTATATGTAGCATGATCTCGCAGGGTGGTATCAGGGTTAGATTTCAAATCCAAGTAGGTTGGCCTATCATCTCTCCAGGATACATAAAATACATACCACTTTGTGGGAAGCCAAAATAAGTTTTCCTCTGGGCAGACTTGTTTCTGCCATAGGAATGTGGAATTTATTTCTGCTGATGCCAGGCCACAAATAGAAACGAGCACGACCAGGCTTCCACTTGAGCACTTTGAATTTTGACTTTTTAAAATTAATCTCGAACAACGTCCTTTCTCCCACCAGCCCCACTCCTATGAAGCTATTACTTTTTGTTTAGGCTTTCAGGCTCCCGGGGCTTTCAAACCACTTCAGCTCAGCTCTGAGCCAGTGCTGTTCAGTCTCAGAAAAACCTGTCCCAGAGGACAGGAGGTCCGGACATGGACTATAGCGGGAAGGTCGTGAGAGTTCGGTGTGACCGTACCCCACCGTGCAACCTCTACAATGCACGTGAGTTGCCACCAAATGAAAACGTCTGTGGAAAACCCTGTGCCGTCATGGAAAAGATGGACTTATTTACTCTTGCATTAACCCACAGTGTCCCGAGGCAGCACATTTTAAATGCGTTTCTGCTGAGCAATGGGGATTTGCGGACGCGCCAGCGCTCGTTTGAGCGCAGAGACCCCTGGACTTTTATATCCGCATCGTGATTAGCGGCCATGATTTATCCACTGCCGCATAAAGATCTCCCAAAAAGTATCGCCATTCTTCATGGTCCCGCAGTGCCAAAATCCGTCTTGCTTCCACACACGAGCCGATGTTGTCGCTCCATCTCCACGGTAGGCGTCCTCTCAGGCGTGTTTCTCTCTGTGGCTGCCACTTGGTCGTTAATCTCGACCACTGGCCATCATCCCCAGCGAAGCATCTTGCATCTGCATATAAAGATCCAGCGGTTTTTGGGCCACCCATCAGACAAAGACGGTTACCGCATCACGCGCTTTCAGGTGCGCTTGTGCGGCTGTCTGGAAAGCGCTTACTTGCGATATTAGGAAGCCATTGGGGCTATGCACTTTTAAATCTAGATTTGAAAACGAATTTCTTTAGAACTGCTTTTTGTCTTTAGTTTTGTTGTCCTTCCCCCGCATCTCCGATTAGCATGGTTGGTTATGTACGGTGCGAAAGACGTTCAACATATATGCAACCATCCACTTGTCAGAAAATTGAGCAAGCACCAATGTGTTGGGTTGGAATCCAGGTGTCAGTCAGCCTTCATTAAACTGGGTTCTCAAGTACAAGTTTGTTAATGGTCTCAGGCTGGTCACTAATAACTCTACGAAAAAAAAAACATCGTATGAAATTTTCCATTTCACTAAATTTGGTTTATTCCAGCTCTGCGTTTGTTTTAAACTTTTTGATTTGACGCACAACAAACGTATTAAAGGTATCCTCGTATTGCGACTAAGAGGACCTATTGAAATTACTTCAGTGGTGGTTCTATAATTTCATCTTCTGGGAACTGTTTTCAGACACGGGGTGATGCACTCCTCGCTCCAGAGTTCCACGTAGAAAGTTCCTCGCCTCTCGACACAATGCCAAAAGTGCAATTGCAATATAACATTAAGTTTAAAAAAATGCCCTCGGTGTCCAAATGCATGGCAAGCAAACTGACTCCACATAAGCCGATAAGTTAACGTACACACACACTGATCAAGATGCCCACTGAGCAAGCGCTTTTTTTTATCAGCAGTTTACTGACGTCAGCTGCAACCACTGCAGGACACTCGGTGATTTATCGTTTTCTCAACCGCTCGCGTTAACAACTTTGGCGGCGGCGATGGTGAGAGTCGTAAAAGCTTTTCCAGATCACCATAGCATCTCTGGGAAGAAGTTATTTTCAGATTTGCCCTTGAACGGCGAGGTGTTTTACGATATAACAGCGGTGTGTTGTGAAGGGGCAAGAAATTGGTTTCAAATCGGTGACTGATGTGCTGGGAGGTGCTGTTTAGTCGACCGCTCGCCTCACAATTGGAAGGTTTTGAGTTCAAATCCCAGTCACGGTCGACTGAGCCCACGTGGTCTTGAAAAGGTAAGGTGCAGCCCTGCAATTGCTTGCTCATGCCACTGCTGAGAGAAGGGCTTCAAATGGAGAGACCTCAAGAAGCATATTATGAGAGCCCCTCCAGACGTTATCTTGACCTAATCTTATGCGCTGGCCAGAGTACCCACACCTCACCCCACCACACGACGACCTGCCGTTTAACTCACTGTGGCGCTACTTGTTTATTAAGCTGGGTAGACAGTGGTGTGGGGGCGGAACCGATAAGCTTGCCCATTGTTGTAACTACCACGTCAGGAGATCACAAGTAAATTGGATAATCGTGGTCTTTATTGAAATAATTGATTTTCGTTAAACAAGCGGCAATTTACAGCAATACCCCGGTTTACGTGGGGGGGGGGGGGGGAGCTTTCCTGAAGGTGTGACGACAAATATTGAAACGACCTAAAAAAATCTAAGCAATTCATCAGGGTGGTGGCTGGACGGATACCAGAAAGGATGGATGATGCTGTCAGCGACGTGAGTGTCGGGTCGAGGCGACGCAAATCCGGTAGCGGTGTTAATAAAGTGACGACGTATTTGCAAAATGATGTAAAAGGAAAGTCACGTGGGCAAAAAATTAAAATTAATAAAAGTAAAATAAAAAATAAAATAAAAATCACGACGTTTCGGAGGCAACACAAGGCTTGTGTTGCCTCCGAAACGTCGTGATTTTTATTTCATTTTCATTTTACTTTTATTAATTTTAATTTTTTACCTACGTGACTTTACCGATAAAACCTAAGAATATGAATCTTTGCAGTCACGAAAGCTTCAAATCTAGAATGATGTAAAAGGTCCAAGGGGGGGGGGGGGGAATGGGTACGTAAATCGGGGCAACCCAAAACTGAACCGTGCCAGTAAACTTTGTTGGCACAGTGTGCCTGCCTGGGACTCTCCCGCTGTACAGCTTGTACGCTCGGTCATCCCAAATCTCAGCCGGGGGATTATTGTGGCATCGCAGGACCGCGAGAGATGGTCGACGTCTCCGGGACAGCTTTCGTGATTCTCCTTCTTGTCGTACGGCTGTTGTAGGTGCAGAGCAACAACTCCAATTTCACATTTAGGTGGCCCAAGTCATGGTGATGAATCCCAAGTCATGATTATGAATCCCAAGCCATGATTATGAATCCCAAGTCATGATTATGAATCCCAAGCCATGATTATGAATCACAAGTCATGATTATGAATCCCAAGCCATGATTATGAATCCCAAGTCATGATTATGAATCCCAAGTCATGATTATGAATCCCAAGCCATGATTATGAATCCCAAGTCATGATTATGAATCCCAAGCCATGATGATGAATCCCAAGCCATGATGATGAATCCCAAGCCATGGTGATGAATCCCAAGCCATGATGATGAATCCCAAGCCATGATGATGAATCCCAAGGCATGGTGATGAATCCCAAGCCATGATGATGAATCCCAAGGCATGGTGATGAATCCCAAGTCATGGTGATGAATCCCAAGTCATGATTATGAATCCCAAGCCATGATGATGAATCCCAAGCCATGATGATGAATCCCAAGCCATTATGATGAATCCCAAGCCATGATGATGAATCCCAAGGCATGGTGATGAATCCCAAGTCATGGTGATGAATCCCAAGCCATTGTGATGAATCCCAAGGCATGGTGATGAATCCCAAGCCATGATGATGAATCCCAAGCCATGATGATGAATCCCAAGGCATGGTGATGAATCCCAAGCCATGATGATGAATCCCAAGGCATGGTGATGAATCCCAAGTCACGGTGATGAATCCCAAGTCATGGTGATGAATCCCAAGCCATGATGATGAATCCCAAGCCATGATGATGAATCCCAAGGCATGGTGATGGATCCCAAGCCATGATGATGAATCCCAAGGCATGGTGATGAATCCCAAGTCATGGTGATGAATCCCAAGCCATGATGATGAATCCCAAGCCATGATGATGAATCCCAAGGCATGGTGATTAATCCCAAGTCATGGTGATGAATCCCAAGCCATGATGATGAATCCCAAGCCATGATGATGAATCCCAAGCCATGATGATGAATCCCAAGGCATGGTGATGAATCCCAAGCCATGATGATGAATCCCAAGGCATGGTGATGAATCCCAAGTCATGGTGATGAATCCCAAGCCATGATGATGAATCCCAAGTCATGATTATGAATCCCAAGCCATGATGATGAATCCCAAGCCATGATGATGAATCCCAAGCCATGGTGACTAATCCCAAATCTCTCGCAGGCACGACTGATCTGATGCGGCTACTGCAGCAGTCGGTGTGGCAGGACGCGGAAATGGACTCGCTGAAGGTAATTCGTTTACCACGGTGCAGGCTTTCACGACCAATGTCATCCATAATACCGGTTTTTTTTTGGGGTAGATCGTGTGGATATATAAATGTATTCTATGGTTCTTTCGGTAAAGTCACGTAGATAGAAAAAATATAATAACAATAAAATTATAAAAATAAAGTGAATTAACAAAAAATATCACTATATATAATATATAAATGTGTCGTTAAAACCCACCACCACCCGACACAGCCAACTAGTAAGGGTTGTCACGTAAACAGAACATGCCAATTCGTTACTAGCACAGCACACCGGTTGTGTGTTGGAGAGCCAAGCCACAACATTTACAATCTGAGTACGACGTTTCGCCAGTAATTAGAACTGGCTTCATCAGGCGACAGCCACGTTTGTGGAGAAGTCCACCTCGGCAAAATGCTTGCCAAGCCTTTTTGACAATACACGGGACGGCGTTTATAAAAAAGGGTGCAGATGTCAGTGTCAGGCCCACCGGTACACGCTCTGTAGCCTCGCGTCGTGCATGTGACATCAATATTGAAAATCACCTCTGTCATCACAATCATAAGATAAAGTGGTATTGAGCCATCATTCATCTAATCTAAACTATTTAAAACGATATTCTTGGTTCTTTCGGTAAAGTCACGTAGAAGGGAAATAATAAAATAATAAAAATAAAACAATAAAATTCTCACCACAGCAAGAACATTTTCTTGCTGTGGTTTTCGCACCTGATGACGATTGCTTGTGTTGCAATCGAAACGTCGTCATAATTGTATAGTTTTATTTTTATTATTGTATTATTTCCCTTCTATGTGACTTTACCGAAAGAGAAAAGAATATGGATCCCTGCAGTCATGAAAGCTTTAAATCGATATTTAACACTACTAAATTATATCTTTTTATTTTAATAGGTAAGGCTCACTGAGCTATGTGACTCTTTTTCAGAAGCGACCTGGCCACAAATGATAGCTCAGCAAAGTGGCTTATTTACGTGGACATTTATAGCAGTCAAATACTCTTAACACATGTTTATAAATGTGGAGTGAAAAAGCAGAGGACGCAGAAAAAAAAATGTTAGGCACAGGTGCAAGTAAACTCTATTCTACACTGGACATATGTGAAGAAGAGCTTCATAGCTCATCAGATTCCTCCAGTCTAAATAAAGTTTCTGATATTTTTGTCTCGTAGGGGTATACACACAAGCAATAAAAGATAACATCTTCAGGGCGCCTTGTGTGTTGAATGAGCTCGATTTGTCCATTTGAATAATACGTAATGCTGTATTCATATAAGCACAGATTATTACTGTACTGATGTCTACCCCCCGCAAAAAAACAACATTATCTTAACACTTGGCACGTCGGAGCTGGAGCAATTTAAAAGTGGGCAGATTAAAGCGAACATTGCCAGCCTATCTCGTGCTTTGTGTGCACATCCGTAAGACAAATAGTCGTAGTGTGACATGCATGGCCAGGCAAATGAACGGGCGCATGGATAAGTGAGTGATTGTCGAGGTGAACGAGCAGCCGAAGTCATCGGTCAAAGTGTCTCTCCGCTTCGGGGAGTGCGTGCCAGTGCTCAGCTCTCGTTCGTGGTCCTGCGCCATTGCTGGAAATTCCAAAACAGGCGAGACGTTCGTGGGTACAATTTGGGTGTTTGGGAATTGTTGCCGTTGTTATTAAATTTTGGCTCCGACCTTAAATTCATTTGCGAGCTGTGGACTAAACGAGCACCACAGGGTTCTTGACACCAGAGGGCTCTGTGGTCACGTGTGAGAGGAGCGAATCGCACAGAAACTTTTACCGCATTCAAAAGCCGTTGCAAATTTGCTAGGGGCATGAATACGAAAGTGAAATGAGTGGAGTTGTCATCAAAGTGCGCTCTGGAATCGGGAAACCTGAGTTTGATTCCCGGCCATGACTGGTGTTAGTGGCGAGTGATTATAATCCGTACTCTTTGGTTCTTTCGGTAAAGTCACATAGGTATAAAATAAAATAATTATACCTTACGTGACTTTACCGAAAGAACCAAAGAGTATGGATTCCTGCAGTTACGAAAGCTTCAAATCAAGATTGATTATAATCTGAACCAGTCCTGGGCTCCATCCTGAAGTATGGTAAAAACAACTCCTATTACATGGTGGGATATTGACACGCGACCATAAATTGTAATAATGTTGTTTCACAAAACTATTTGTTTTTAATTGACAATGAAATGACAATCATCATGTATACCGTGGCCCTCCATGCAATACATATCGAGGTGCAATAACAAGAGGCTTGAGATGATAACAACAACAACCGAAGTACTGTGCTTAGTATGGAAAACACATTCCTGCGGAGGGAGCTGGTAGGAACGTCGGGTTGCTCGGTCAATGGCCAGGGTCAACGGCGGCGTGGTGTATTCCGCAAATATGGCCGACTGTGAGGGCGGGCACAAGCCGGCGTGAGTAGGTTAAACGTTGAATTTTATAAGGGCACCACAGGGTGACCAGCCCCTCCCCAGCCAGCCTCACCCCTCCCACCCCCCACCCAGCCCCTCCCCACCCTCCATTCCCCACCCAGCCCCTCCCCACCCAGCCCCTTTCCACCCTCCCCTCTCCACCCAGCCCCACCACTCCCATTTTCGGATGCACGACGGACGGACGGACACAATAATCCCCTGTGGGCTGGTGTAACCAGGAGGTTCCTACCAGTATGATTGCATACAACAGTACAGTGTACCAAACGTATGCATGTATGTATGCTGAACTTCTTTCGCACCGTACGTAGCCAACCGTGTTAATCAGAGGTGCGGGGGAAAGACAACAAATTCGACACAAAAAGTCGTTCTAAAGAAGAAGAGGAAAGGGAATGACTGCCGTACAGACAATACACAACAAACAATGTGATCCAGTCGAGATTTTATATCGAAACAGCTTGGGACTCCTCGCTCATTTTGTCCGATGACAGTGACCAGTATTTACCCAAATGGCTTAGTCGATATTTGAGCTACTTACCTTTAATCCTATTTCTTATCTCTTGTTCACAGTTTAGTTTTTCTTACTAAATGCATTTTACTCGAAGCGAATATTAATTTAGCATGTATGTATGTTACATACATGTTACATATGTTGAGTTATTGCCAACGTATTTATGTAGAATTAGGCTTTGATAGGCATTGTTTTTTGGGCATTGTGAACTCCGGGCCGCACATCACAGCAAGCCAAGAAACCTGGTGGTTCATCGTCATGATCATGAACGCCAATCACACGTCCCATGCCCCCCCCCCCCATAATCATCGTTTAACGTCACACAAATGATAAGGAGAAATCCATCTGGTAGTCGACTAAAATCCAGATACAGGTACCATATGTATCACAGGTCACCTCTGGAACGTGCAGCAATTGCAGATTGTAGAAGAAGGAAGGCAGGAAGTTGCGGTGCGAGGTGATGTATCATCAGCAGCAATAGCTGCGATGACCCCTTGACCTTGGTCATGATTCATTGCAGTTCATTAACTAAGGGCTTCTGTAAGTTGTGTTGGACGAGACGATGGGGGGAGGGGGATTCCGAAGTGGAGTAGTGGGAGGGAAGAAAGGGAAGTTGGAATCACATCGACTGGAGAAATCCGATGAGCTATGAAGCCCTTTTTCACAGATGTCCAGTAGAGGTGGGTTTAGCAATTTACAAGAACAGAAAAAGTATTGTGACCTGCGGTGTCTGACGGTTGATTGCAGCATGGATGAGACAGAAAGTCAGACTGGCCGAACTAGGCCTCAGTATCGGTAGAGGGATAGATTTTTAAAACTCCGTGTAATCTCAATGTTCTATACAGTAGACTCTCGATAATTATCCGTGCTAATTGACGGGGAAGATGGCCGTGGATAATTCAAAATTGCGAATAATCCAAAAAATTCAATTTCCCGCAGGTTTTATGCCAAAAACCACTAACATCGGTATACATTGTGTTTTAAGTTAAGAATTTTGAGTTGCTCAGTGATGACACTTTCCTGCTCCCACACAGAAGAATCTGCCCACTAAGTCGGCAGCAGCAGAGCCACGTCAATCAAACTCGGCCCACCGTTGTCAAGACATGCAGCTACTGTACTGTAGAGGCAACCACGTGGATTTCGGATTAACCAAAGCAACATATTTGCTCGGTTTAAGCACGTGACTTGTAAAAAAAATTTCCAAGAGTAACAATGTGTAACTGTTTCTTAGATTATTAATTTGGGCTTAAGGGAACATCCATGGAGAGTTACGAATTTATGTCAAAATCTCAGGTGCGCGGTGAATCCGCAAATCAGATAAACCGTTCGTGGATAATCGAGAGTGGACTGTAAGTGCCCTTCATTGTCAATGTGTTGCCGGGCCAACACCTGTCTTCTTCACAGGGGGAACTTGTGCAATGCCCACGATGGTAGCCACGAGCCAGTTGCATAATGCGCTGTAAGAGAACATTTTCCTCAGTGCGCTAATTAAAGCACTGCACGTGAGGCATTATTCACAAATGGCCTTTGTTTTCTGGGGAAGACCTCACTTCGTCTCAAGATGAATTTTTTTGCACGAGTGTTCTGCATTGGGACGTTTTTGGGGCATTTCATCTACACGCGTAAATATTTTAAATTCACGGCCGCTGAGCACTGGCCGAAAGCCTCAAGCGGCCAGCTACAAAAGACACCTTTGAATGCGTAATTTGACGAGAGTTAATGCGTTTCTTGAATTGAGCAACGCTTAGACGAATGTGTGGGAAGAGACGATCGGAGGGAACTCTAAAGATTTAACAGCGCGAGGGAAGAAGCAGAAATAAAAGTGTTGCGACCTGCAGTGTGGTGATTGAACACAGAGTGGATTAGTCGGAACAGTCTGTGCAGCGCTGTGAGGCCTTGTGTGAATGGCGCTTTATAAAACTGAGTTTTACTAACTTTACTCTGTCCGGTAGATCGATACATCGATTTGGGGCAGAGGGATCAAAGTTCCACGAAGCTACATTCACTGACCTATCGCTGTTTTGCCTTCTGCTCGTCATCTAGAATGTGCAGTATTTTATGCAAGCGGTTACGTGCGTTTTTAATGGCACGCATTTATTACCCTCAAGATAACTGGTCGTCAGTGGCCACTAATGTTCACCCCCTTGATACTGAGCATTTGCATGAACCTCTCCGTACCACCATCAACCCCATTTGCCCTGTAATTATCTTCTGCCCAGTATTTGTACGACATTTTGAGATGCGGTCACTTCCAGGCGCTCCGTAAATCAAAATCACGTTTCACGGTATTGTGCACGAAGCAGAGGCGTGGTCACTGTGAGCTCAGTAGATATTGATAAACAAGCATAACATTACGGAGAAGAAAAAATAAGGGTATTTCTAAAGTCGGCTTTTTTCTCCATTCAACAAGGTGAGACAAATCGACGATTATGCCGATGACGGAAATTTTCAATACGCAGTGGCGCGCGGATAGTCAGCATCAGCACTGAGCAGGGAAGCCAGCAGTTTCATAGATTTAATATTCTATATTTTCCAGATTATGAAACGCTCCACAAAAGTAAGACGCATCCCGCGCTTGTGCCCCGGTGTCACTGCAATTATGCAAATGTGTCTCGCGCAACGCACCTACAAGATTATACGATGTGCCCCAAAACGTTTGCTCTAAATACAGGGAAACAGATGTCTGTCGTAATCTGGAGAATACGGTAATTACAGCAAAATACAACTCCTATTATATCCGCGACGACATGGGGGGACAAGTTTCACAGACGCCACCTGTAATCTAACCAATCACCAGAGGCAGGTCAAGAAACTTCCCAGACGAGGGGGAAGGTGGGGATTGGTGGATAGGTGGATGGTCCTAAAACGTAGCACCTTACAGAAATGCGAAATATATATTTAAAAAACGTATTGTCTGTGGTAAACATTGATAAAATATGAACTTTCACATCTCAACGGGGCATGGGAGAGAGAAGAATTATTGCAATCACCCCCGACTTGGATCCACGACTGCTAATAAGCACTGGGAACAACGACCCCACCACACCAATCAGAATCGGAATCTTTATCGATGCTGGAGAAATCTGAAGTGCTATGAAGCTGCTCTTCACAGATGTCCAGTTGGGGGTGGGTCAGAAAGTTACAACAACAACCAATATGAAAAAAAAAACGATAGCAGTGCAAAGGTGTTTAATATAAGTGGAACCCAATTTCAAAGCAGTATATTTCACGATGGCAACATGTTATAATTACACCAAAAGTTACAAACGGTTTAATGAGTTATCAAATTTTACTAACCATGATATAAATGCTCTATGTGCCCTCCACCTGCTGTACGAACAACAATGAGACGATAGTTGAATTCGTCCCAAATGCCTCTCAAAGTGTCTTCTTCCTCTGCAGTCACCGCTACCGTGATTCTGTTTTTGAGGTCATCCAGATTAGTCGCTAATGGTGGCACAAAAACACCGCGGTCTTTGACGTATCCCCACAAGAAAAAGTCGCAGGGTGTGGTGATGTCTGGGGATCTTGGGGGCCAAGAGTGTAGCGCCAAGTCTTGGGGTCCTGTGCGACCTATCCAATGTTGAAGCAGTGTGTCTTGCGAATGACTGAGGCTAGGGGCTGTTTGTGCGCTGGGAGAGGCATCTCGCGGTAATCATTTGAAACTCTATGCCCACCCTTTCAAGTGGTAAGAGTTTCATTCATGGACGGTTCGTGGTTGCAGAGATATAACGAACTTGGGTCAATCTGTTTCCAACACCCTGTATAGGAAAGGTGAGCAAATCACTCAAAGTAAATAAACAAAAACTCAACGACCACGTGAAGCCCATAAGGCCACCACCTGAGCGATTGACGTCTCTTCCTCCGCAGATGGAGATCGAGCGTGGAGCCGAGGGATACGGCTTCACCATCTGCTGCGACTCCCCCGTGCGGGTGCAGTCTGTGGATGCGGGTGAGGACACGGCCGCGCGTGCTGCCGCCCCGCGGCGAGCTGGCGCCAGCGGCGCCCCTTTCCTCTGGGCCAGCCTCGCTGGGGGAGCCTCACTCGCGACCCTCGTTCGTGACCATCGTTAGCCGAGCCCCGTTCGCCGATGCCTCTTTATCCGAGCCTCGTTAGGGAGCCTCGTTAGCCAAGCCTCGTTAGAGAGCCTCGTTAGCCAAGCCTCGTTAGGGAGCCTCGTTAGTGAACCTCGTTAGAGAGCCTTGTTAGCGACCCTCGTTAGCGACCCTCGTTAGGGAGCCTCGTTAGCCAAGCCTCGTTAGGGAGCCTCGTTAGTGAACCTCGTTAGAGAGCCTTGTTAGCAACTCTCGTTAGCGACCTTCGTTAGGGAGCCTTGTTAGCCGAGCCTCGTTAGAGAGCCTCGTTAGCCAAGCCTTGTTAGAGAGCCTCGTTAGCCGAGCCTCGTTAGAGAGCCTCGTTAGCCAAGCCTTGTTAGAGAGCCTCGTTAGCCGAGCCTCGTTAGAGAGCCTCGTTAGCCGAGCCTCGTTAGAGAGCCTCGTTAGCCAAGCCTCGTTAGCGACCCTTATTAGCGAGCCTCTTTAGAGAGCCTTGTTAGCCGACCCTCGTTAGCGAACCTCGTTAGCGAACCTCGTTAGCGACCCTCGTTAGAGAGCCTCGTTAGAGAGCCTCATTAGCTGAGCCTCGTTAGCGACCCTCGTTTGTGACGCCACCAGGCATCGTGGTGGGTACCGGCGTGGTCGTGCCGCCCCCGGCGGTCGCCGGATGCGCTCGATCCAGAATTGACGGCGTTGATGAAATCGGCGACGGAAACCGTTTTGTCGATGAAATGTTTCACGCTTATTTTTTTAATCCGCTACGATGGGCCGCCGAGGACCAACGCGTGACTCGTGCCGAGATTGACGATTGACTCGTCCAGATGAAGATTCAGATTAAAATAATTTAGTAACTTTAGGAGAGACTGCTGCCCACTGAGGAAGACCGACAATGATCACTGGCTGTATATTAATGTAAGAGCATCTAATGATATGCTAACATGATCATATTTGGGGTGTGGAAATTGCGTAATCCTCTCATTTAATAAATACAGGTGGGCTATATTATTGACCGCTTTCGTCGACTAGACTATGAGAAAGACTAAATGAAATCCACAGACTCAGATGACTAACATCGCCTCAATGTTGTCATATCTGAAAACCTAAGCAGAGTTAGGCCTGGATAACGATAGGATCGGCGACCACCATGCATACATCTAGATTGAAAACACATTTCTTTAGAACTGCTTTTTTTGCGTAAGTTTGCTTGCCTTCCCCCGTACCTCCGATTCGCGTGGTTGGCTACGTACAGTCCCAGAGAAGTTCAACACGCATACGTAGATAAACAGGTTATCAAAGGCTTTCATGGCTATGTGATGGGCAGCAGAGTACAGTGCAGGGAAATACATTCTTGCATTTATTGTACATCGATGCTTAACCTGCTTCACCAGCCCACACCGGCCAGCCTGGTTAAGCATCGTCAATTAAACCCAACAACTGCCCATGTGGTCTGGGGGAGGCCCTCATCCAACAGTGAACTACTGCTCTGCGAGTCATATACCCTCCAGGTTTGAAGCCCTGTGAGTAAAATGCATTTTCAGGAGGTACAATCTAACATCCCCTTCAAGACGCTGGTAACCAATGAAGTTAACACACGGCGCCCTCCCCATAACCCCCTGCAGCATAACAAAAGGAGGCTTAATTGAACCCTCCCCCACGGCCCATCCTGGCTCCTCCCCCCCCTTAATCTGTATATATGTAATGCGGGCGTAAATGGGCGGGGCGGATATGACGATCCGAGAGGGAGGAGTCAGGGTGACGTGGGGGAGAAGTTATAGCGGGGAGACAGGAAGCTATCTGGGTCAGTCGGGGGAGTGAAGGGTGGTGAACACGTTGGGTGGTCGCCGTGCCTCAGCCTGGTGGCTGAGGGGCTCATGACGGCGCCAGCCAGCGGGGTGGAAGAGAGAGTGGAGGATTGAGGTAGGAAGTGGCGAGATAGCCACAGAGGCCACGAAGGGCTGAGGTAGGAAATGGCGAGATAGCCACAGAGGCCACGAAGGGCTGAGGTAGGAAATGGCGAGATAGCCATAGAGGCCACGAAGGGCTGACATTGGGAGGTGGCGAGATCGCCACGCACGGAGGAACAGGGAGCAGAGATGGAGCTGCTGGGGGAGCAGCCAGAGGGCTGTACCAAGAGCCTGCAGCGGAGCTGCAGGAGCGTGGAAGGCTACGGGAGCGAAGGCAGATGTGGGGCTGCCAGGGAGAGAGTCTCAGGAGGAGTGCCGTGTGGGAAGGAGAACGCGAACCCCAAATAAAGGACACGGAGTCAGCAAGAAGTGTCTGAGTCCTTTTATTACACTGGAGTCAGAAGTGAAACGGCATCTCAAAACAACTGAGAGAAAGAAGAAAATAAAAAAAAAAATATTCCTGCTACATCATCCGACGACGACGACCTTCCTCAGACAGTGGACCTGCCTGCGATGGAAGAGGAGATCCGTTCTGGAACGAGTACGGGTCCGGGTGAGCAAGGTGTCGCCGCGTCGGTGGACCTGTCTGTGCCGGAGGATGCCAACTTACGATGGAGACAGATGGTGATGCAGATGGGGACCTTGAAAATCGTGCTGGCGCGACTGTGTGAGTTCACCACGCCGAGGACGACGTCGGGGAGGCCCGGTGGTGATCCGCAGGCCTCTGCCTTTCCTGCGCTGCCAGCGCCATTGCCACGTGGCACGAAGACGCCATCTTGGGCGTGGCAGGGGAGAAACGGCGGGAAGCCGCCATCTTGTCTTCACCGCGGCGGGAGGACGCCGCCATCTTCAACATCGCGGCGGAGAGGCAGCCTTGCGCTGCCATCTGGAGGTGCCGCGGGGTGAGCAGCCTGCTGTGAGCTGCTGTTTTTCGAGGGGGTGCTGCGAGGAGAAGACGCCGATGCTGCAGCTGCTGGGGCGGGAGCTTCCCGTCCTGGTTCGGGTGCGTGACAACGGAGCCGTCAAGTCGCCGAACGAGTTCTGCGAGGCGTCTCAAGTTGCCACCCTGCCGTCCTCTTCTTGCTGCAGCCCCGGGCGAGTCATAACGATACGCACCCGGCCTTAACACACACCTCACTCATCTTTCGAGGGCCGGGGGGGGGCTATTTTGGTTTTCTCTTATGACTCGATTGTGCGGAGCGCGGTTCGGACTGTGTGTATATGTGTGTAATAACGATGAACGCGCTATCTGCTTGTTGCTTGGTGTCAATATAAGTGTGTGCGTGTGTTGAGAATGGACGGAGAGTCTGCTGTATTTGCTGAGTGTCAAATTGTGTGTGTGCGCTGCTGCGTGGAGTTGTTATCTTGATGGTGAAGTTAATTGTTAACTTGGGAGCGTCAGGTATCTTGCGCTGTATTATTTGTGGGTTACCTTGTGTGATGGGCTTAATTGGAAAAAAATATATATATATTTTTTTGGTGTATTGTGCTGCGAGGTGCTGTGTGCGATGCGATTGTTGCAAGAGAGAGAATAATTGTGTTGTTGCTGCAAAGTTACGACAGGATTAATGGTGTGTTGGTTGCCTGCAGATCTGCTTGCTATTGTGCTTAAATGTGCGCGTGTGATCGCGATATGCTGATTGCATGTGCTGTTATACCGTTCTGTATGGTTATGGGGTGCGATGCAGTGGTTGATTATTGGAATTGGGATTGTTATTATATTGTGCGTACCTGTTGGAAATTGGTAACAAATTCGAGGGGGACCCAAATAATTGGTTGTATGGTTGTTGTGCACACGAGATTGCGTGTATATTATAGAGGGGGACCCTAAAATTCGGTTGTATTGGTGTTGTGCACACGAGATTGCGTGTATATTATAGAGGGGGACCCTAAAATTCGGTTGTATTGGTGTTGTGCACACGAGATTTCGTGTATATTATGGGTAATTGCGCTTTTTGAGAGAGAGAGCGCGCTTTGAGGGTGCGTGATGACGCCGTTGTGGGTGTCTCAAAGGTTAATGCTAATGGGACCGTAAATTGGCGCCAAGTGGCGTCGCGTATTCGGTTGATCGCATGCAGCCACGAGTTGCTTGGCGAGTTGGGTTGTGTAACTAATGTGGTTGGTAAAATATTGGTTAAAAATTCCACGATGACAGCTGTGCGCAGCAAGCTGGGGCTGTGCGTCTATCGTTGGTGGGGTTGTTATAATGTGACGGGAGATGCGTCTTGTGACCCCCAGCTAAGGAAAGCTGGGGTGCACGAATGGAGAAAACTGGCCACGTGTTCGCACGTTGGGCCGCCATTTTGCGCGCACGCGGGGTATGGCGACGATGCGCTTTGCGGAAAGGGCCGCCATTTTGAGTGCGCGCGAGATATTGCGCGAACGCGCTGGGCGAAGGGGGACGCCATTTTGAGCGCGCGGGATAAACCGAGGTGGGGCAAATATTCCATCTGTTATGCCTGCCATCGTTGATTGGGTGATGCACGAGTTGTGGTCACATCGGCCTATGGCTGATGGCTGACCTGACAGCCCGGAGGCGAAACCTCCGTGGTATGTCTTAAACTAATGGGCCATGTGCTCATATGGCTCGGGGAGTCATGGTTCAGTTGTGCGGTGGCAGACTGAATCTGGTGTGCCGGGGGCTCACGGGATCTGGGTTAGGGTGTTATTGTCTCTATAAGAGAACATTGCCCCGTGGGGGGAGTACAGGGGGTCTGGCATTGCTGGGGGATGAACCTTCCCTGGGCTATAAAGCATCGGACTATACGAGGCTGGTGTGTGTCCATCTCTGATGGGATAGTAAGGGAGGACCGTGGCCGAGTTGCTGCTCATCCCCGAAATTGCACTAGCTGAGAGTATGGTCAGTGGATGTTGCTGTGGGTTGACGACCACGGTGGGGGTTAGGGCGAGTTAAACATTACCGCTGGGGAGCGTGGCTCTCTCCACGCGAGGGTGTGCGATTAGGTGTTTTGTTGGGTTGCTGAGAGTGACC